CAAGTGAAAGCTCAAAATTTGGATTAATATATTTTGTGTTTTTATATGCGCGGAGTAGTACTTTTTTAAGGGACGCATATTACATGGCTATTTCCACTGACCAGTTATGCTGACACGTTAGTTCAATGTAATTTTGGAGTTATTTTGTATTAATGTTATTTTATAACGCCAATGCTGTACATGGAAATACTATTAAGGAATTATACTACGCTACCTTTACTGTAACTGCTTAAGGAACTTACTGGTTAATATTGAAAAAATAATAAAATTGAAAAATAATGTTGTATTTTTTTTATTTGTTCCTCCATTTCTTACTATACACGGCGTTACTATCAGTTTTGGTGTTTTGACGTAAGATCGGACGAGCGTATAGTAAGATACAAGTGGGGCGCGACCGCCTAACTTCTCTAGCTACAACTAGGTAGAGAAACTAGGCAACCAAGCGGTCTTGGAGCAAGTCGAACGCTGTGAAAAGTATGACCTGATTGTGACCCTATAAAAACTGAACTGTTAATGTTTACAACCAAACTCAACGTAGGCACATTTGGCATTACACTACAACTGACCAAGGAGGTAAAGTACCTTAGCTTAGCTGACAGTTAATTGAACAGTCACATAGAACATAAAATTAAAACAGCGAGAGTCATCCTGTGACAATGCCGCAATATGATCGGGAAACGCTGGGGATTTGCAACAAAACTGTCCATGTGGTTCTAAAACACAGTATTGCGACAGATGGTAGGTTATGGTGGCAAAAAACTACTCAGTCTACATGTGTAAACAGACTGCAAAGTTTCCAACGGCAGGCATGCTGTGCCCTGACGGGATGCATGAGCACGGCGCCCACGGCAGCTTTGGAAGTAAAGTAAAACATTACACCGCTACACATCTGTATTAGACAGGAAGTGGCCAAGACAGCATTGAGACTGGCTTAACACCCCGCTTGTGGATAGTGATGATACAAAGATAACACACAAGGCCCTCACAGTCTTCACGTACGGCAAAAGAACCTCATCAGACACAGGCGCTGGTGTATTCTCTGAGGACCTTTACATACATCTGTTCTTGTCCCTCGACTCATTCAATAGAGTATTTCAGACTGAATGTAAGGCGATCACCTTGGCGGCGAAGGCGACGTCTACAAGGAAGGTAACAGAATCAGAAATCCGTATCTTCTCGGACAGTAAATCAGTCCTACTGGCTCTTAAAGGCAGTTTTTGCGGATGTAGTCTTCTACAGGAGTAGGTCCTAAACATGGTATTAACACAATGTAATTACAATAAAATTGATAAAAATACACAGTGGATCACGTGGAAATGATGATTTTAAGTTTACAATTATATTTATTACTGTCAAATTCTGGATGTTGAATTTCTGCAATGGATTTTGATCTCTATTTTTAATGTTTTAAGGTTTAAAATCCAGTAAATTAGTAAATTTTGACAGTTTTCTGTAGTCTGTCGTGCTGTTGACTGTACCGAAATAAAACAAACACGTGATTTTCAAATATATTTCAGTAATCAAAATATAATAATAGGCTTACACATTAATAGTTACGAATCGTATCTCATGACATGACCAAAGGATTTACAAAAAAAAAATAATGGCAGACATTTTAAAAATAACTCAAATGGAGTCCACGAAGCTGAAAACATTTCTTTTATCACAAATAATTTAAACATTCAATTGCTCTACAGCCAAAAATTAAAAATATATATTTACAAGCCGTTAAATTTAGAGTAATATAGTTTTTTTTACATAAATCATTAGTGCACTTTATTCACATTGTGAATTTTTTTCTCTTATTTAAGAATTAACGAAAAGCTCTTAAATGCTAAATCGTGAGTTACTTTTAACTTGTTGTGCACTTAACATTTTTTAAACAAGTTAAAGTAAGTATAACCTTTTGTTTCATTGCAAAGGGCTATAGTATGATATTTATTTTGTATCGATATAGTTTATTTACTTATTATCGTCAGTTACTTAAAAAAATTAATACTTCCGTCCTGTAATTGTGTTAGAAAACGCCTATAAAATATCCAGTATACAAAATTATTCAGCTAAATTTATATACAATAGTCTTTTCGGCTACAATTTTTTATATTTACTTTCTTTTAAAACAACTAGGTTCTTTTTAATAGGCAAGCATTGTCGTTCTTCAATTCTCTGAGTTAATACTAAAAAGAAAACCATAGATTATCACAAAAAGTCGGAAAACGAAAAAAGTGCGATCAGGAACTTGATTCTAGAATATTTACATATTTTATAAAGGTATAATATCCTTAGAAATAACTTTATATCACAAATAAAATTCCAAACTATTTTTATTTTCATATGAGCAATTACATATTTTTTTTAAAACTACTATTGGTCAATATTGATAAGAAATTTTCAATGAAAACCATAAATAAACTTAATTTCTACAAAAATTGAGGGTTTGAAAATTAAATAATTATGCTTTAGAAGTTGTCCAATAATGACGGAATCGTTTCCTTTTTTTTTAATAGTTATTACACAAATGTTAGTAGTATATTGTTAAACCTGCAAATTGGCGAAAACGACCCTTTGTATACGAGGTAGTTTTACTCCCAAGCTTTAGCGTGGCAGTAAATAGAAACCGGGTTAGAAGAAGTTTTAGTGCCGTATTTTTAACACTACTTTACACTTCGATTACAAAAAAGAGCACCCTCCCAAGACATTATTTTTCAATTTATTAAAAAAAAATCTCTATGGTACTATTGTACGCATTCTGAATCTCGAGATCGGGTGGAGTTAAATAATAATATTAAAAAAAAAACTTCGAGACCACAGAGCTGCTTTGTACCATTTTCAAAAAGTTTTTTTATTAAACAAAAAACTTTACTCAAGCGCATTTTACTTAGTACATATTAAAGACTTTACTGTAGGCTTCTCGGTCACAGACACTCAATAAAAAAGACTTGTTCTCCTAAAGCAAGAAAATTTATTTGAGCTTTGCTTTGTTTGAGACGGTATAATGACGGCTTTTTAGAAAGATAATTGAAAAGCATTTTTTATAAATAAATAATTAATTAAAAATCACGTATTTTTATAACGTTTGATATTATAAAAATATTTGAGGTCTTCTGTTTTTCGCCATTTCATATTAAGAGTACAACAATCCGTGATTATCGAACAAAGAGAAAAAAGGATAAAATAAAGCGCGATATGGACGTATTACATAAACAAACAAAAATGCTGAGCATAATTTCTTCTACATTATGTCTATCTAATTAATTTAATCTTAACTTTTTATCTGTTTAATATTTTTAGCATACAGTACAAATTTTATGTATACTTCAAAAGCGTTTTTATAAATAATATTATATTTATATTGTTTAGATGTATTGTACAATCGACTCTGCCGTAATTTTTATTAAAAAAATAATATTATAATTACTTATTAAAAACTAGGGCAGAGGCATCAGTTACGTACGTCCTATAAAAAACAAAGAAATACAGTATTTTAAATTATATAAGTAACGTTATTTAAATAGCATATTTATTCTCCTTTTCACCTTATACATTTTATTTACAATTCAATCACGTTTCCTTCGTTTCTTTTTAACATTGTTGTTGTCTCCTAACCTAAAAATTATAATATAACATAGTACACTCATGCCAAACTATCTTCGCGTTAAATAAATACTAGAAGAAATAAGAATAAGCTTATTTTGAACATAAACTACTTAATACCTTTGTTATATTATTAGAATAGATTATTTGAAATATCAAAAATCCTTGTTAAAATGGCAAAACGTATAAACGCATAGAAAACCTAGCAATAGATTAACGTATTTTTTCTCGAACGGATGTATCATCCGTCGTTTTCGCCTAGAAATTGCGATAAGTTCAAAAAAAGAGCTGCCATGATCATACTGTGGATTACATAGTTGCCATATTTAGGTAGATAATCACTGGGAAATGGTTGAAATTTAAATTTTATGAAAAATAAATATTATTAATAACATATCACCCCACTTTTGTATTAGTGATATAATTTGCAGCTAAAACCTGTAATAAGTTTTACTATTCTCAGCCCAAATTTACTAATAATTTCTTAGTATACATTGTATGCTTATTGAACTGAACCAAAAATAGTAGAACATCTGTTATAACTAAATTCTTACATAACTGGATGTTTTTATCACAATAAAAGCAAATTCTAATTATAATCAAGTACATACAATATAGCCTATTTAGTTCAACTTCGGCAGTGGTTTGTCGTAGAAAGTGTTTCTATATTTCTATAGTACGAAACATTGATAGAAAATCCGTTTGATTCGGGTATTTTAACTTGTAACCATAAAACTGTCCGTTTTAAGGATTTTAACTTGGTTAGGTTAGGTAACTTGTATTTTTTATGAAATACTAAATAAAATTGTGAAAATTTTAAATTTAGAGTCTATGGACTTTTGTTTATAAATATTAAAATTTTCCTTTGGCAATAATTACCTTATACAATATAAAACAAACAATTAGGTACCATTTTTTTATAAGAAAGCATAGATTAATGCGGAATAAAATTAATTTGTTCATAAAATATTCCCTAAAGTTATATTTCTTCAGAAACATCAAAAATATAAACAAATAAATAAGTGAATACTCGAGAGTCAATTTCATTAAGTATTAGGTTATAACAAATCAGAAATGTGATATTGAGCCTATAACATTTCTGTTTTGTGACATTTTTCACTTACTGATACTGCCCTCGTAAAAAACTTAGCCCTGTTATGCTAACCGTCCATTAATTTTCATGGAACGAAGAAGGCAAAAGAAGTCAATTTTTATTTTATTATTATTATTAAACATGAAGACTTAGACACACGAATCAAGTACCTTTCCCCGAATCGAAATTCTCATATAATTTGTCATTTATATGCAAAAGGTTGATTACTTAATTGGCCTCTTTCGGATTTTTCTGCTAGCTGCATCTCTTGAAGTCCCTATATTCAAAACGAACAGTTTCAAAGTTACATCGCTCAACCCATGATCGTGACCGTACTATCTAAATGCAAACCATAACCGAACACGTTATGACGCGACATCATCTGACGGCGAGTAACGTCGCGAGCAAAACTACTGTAGCGGTAGCACGACACGCACCGCTGTTGTACTTGCTGCTCTGCTCGCATGTACCTGAAAATATATAAATAAATATATACAATACTACTTTTATATTATTACTAAAAATAATACTTATCTTATTTAGATAGTCAAAAGTGAAAAAATAATAATTTTCAAAATAATCAATAAAAAGTGTGATAATTGCTCAAAACACAATTGAATAAAAAATTATTACAACTGTCACTACCATTCACAAGCGCAATACTCGTAATAGGTAACTACTAGCTGTAGTAAAGGACCACTGGCCATTAGCTCGTGCCAAAGCTATTATTGTTTACTATAGTACACACTCAGTTCAAAGATCACCATGTAATAATGAACGTGCTACTAGATTTATGTAGTGCTTAATTTAATGCCTTTTCCCCCTTTTATTTACCCCTCACCTTAACCCTTAACCCCTTTATGTATTATGTACTTAGCGCGTTAATAAATTAACGCATTAATTAACACGCTAATTTTTCTTAGCATTTAGTCTCAGCGTGTTAATGTATTTTAGTAGTTTTGAACAACTCTAATGTGCACCGTGCACGCGTCACGCAAACAGTTGCAAACTGTTATCGGAAGTGTGTGTACTCTTTATTGGACCACGGTTCGTTCCATGCGTCGTCTCTTAGCCAAGGAAGAGGAAGACAAGCCTATTCGCAAAATGTGTATGATGACGTGTTTAAGATCTCCGGCGAGGTAAAAATGACGCAGCTCGACCTTTTAGCATCAGCAAGTACTGTTCATGGAAAAGTTAATGCAGCTGGATTGCATCCCTATCACTATCGAAGGGTGCAAGAGTTAATTAAAAATCACGTATTTTTATAACGTTAGATCTTAAAAAAATATAAATACCTAAATTAGTCTTTACTTAGTTGTGATTTTTTTTTATGAGCGTCGCTTCAGTGTTTTATTTAAGGCGCCAATCGACTAGGCTCTAATAATAGTACTGTCCAGATGTCTTGGACATTCGTTGCCAGCTACCATGGCCTGGACCACACAAGAAGGTAACACGGAGGTCTACTATTAAAAAAATACCTATTAGAAAAGCTTCTTATAAGGTATCCGATTATATAACAGATAAGAATGCTCGGACTTAAGATGGTCCAGCAACTGTATAGGTAATTACTTCTAAACCCATTATATCTTAAAAATTATCTTGTTGCCATTATTATTCAATTTATAATGTATTTATCTGGTAATGACATGGTTTTTGTGAATGCCATTACTCCTATGGAGCTGCGAGTTTCTTGCTCGTTCTTCTTATCAGCCAAAAGACGTTCTGATCGAGTAGGGAAAAAACTGTTGGACGATTCAAAAGTACATTTAAGAAATTTATTTGAATAAAGATTATTTTGACTTGACTAACTAAAACATTGTAACGACTAATTAATTTCAGACAAAACCTTTTCTGTAAATAATAAACAACTGACTTGAATAACTAAAAAATTGACACGACTAATTAAATTCAGACAAAACCTTTTCTGTAATAAACAACTAACTTGACTAACTAAAACATTGTCACGACTAATTAAATTCAGACAAAACCTTTTCTGTAAATAATAAACCACTGACTTGACTAACTATAAACATTGTCACGACTAATTAAATTCAGACAAAACCTTTTCTGTAATAAACAACTGACTTGACTAACTAAAAAATTGTCAGGATTAATTAAATTCAGACAAAACCTTTTCTGTAATAAACAACTGACTTGACTAAAACATTGTCACGACTAATTAAATTCAGACAAAACCTTTTCTAAAATAAACAACTGACTTGACTAACTAAAACATTGTCACGACTAATTAAATTCAGACAAAACCTTTTCTGTAAATAATAAACAACATCTTGTTACCGTTGATGGTGAGGTTGTATGTGTGGTCGCGCGCGGTGGCGGGCGTGACCGCGCGGTCGCAGGACGTGCCCACCGCGCTCAGCCACATGCGGCCCGACCCTAATGTCTCTGCAACGATTACATACGAATATAAACTTATTTGTATTACACACAATCGAAAAGTTTCAATGAAATCTACAACAAATACCTTTAGTCCAATAAAAGCAGAAGAAGTTTCATTAAGCCGGCGTTGTTAAATGTATAAAAAGTCCCGTTAATTACTAATGCCGGTCTGACGTCATTTGAAAATAGTACAGATAGCAAAAAAATGTAAAAGACGAATTCTTTATAAATTCTTTAATAACATTGTTATAACTTGAGTAGCTCGGTGGCGTAATGGATAAGCGCCACGGCCCGCGATCTTAAGCAACTTTGATGATGATGAAAACAATATGGCGATGCAGACCGTTGGCGTGTCCCGTGTGGTATATGAAGCAGAGCGTGCGCGGGTGCGTGGAGGCGCGCGCCACCGGGGCCGCTATCAGGTAGCCGCTGCCGCCGCTGCTCCAGCTGCCGTAACATGTGTACACTGGAACACAACACACATACATACATACATACATCATACTCATAAAAAATATATAGACAAATAATTTATTAATGCACACACACACTTTAAATTCTTTTTTTATTTGTGCAAACCTCAGTCTTTGACTAACTGCAGCTTTTTGTTGGTATAAAATTTATTAACACCGATAAATTATTACTACTTAAAAAAATGTTAACACACATAGCACACACAAAAACAAGCAAAAATGAAAGAAATCATTTAACATCCACAGCAAAGAACAAAGGAGCTGGTATAGGATCAGTTGCACTGATATTCGACTGAATCCAGTCATGACACCACGGAGAATAACAAAAGATAAAAATATATCCCAAAAAACATCGTATAATCATAGATGTCTATGGCTCCATGGGCTAATTTCAATGCCTTTGGTTACAACGACAAAAGTATTTCTAGAGATTAGACATAATCACATAAATTGCTTAGATACTACTAATCCTTAATCTGTGATCACAAATCAAGACATTTTTTAATGGTACACTTTTTAATTTTTATAATAGAGGAAATTGGTTCGAGTGCAATCCCGGGTTACCTGGGGCTGATAGTTTCGTTGCTTTACATACTTTACATATTTATTTGTATTATACATAAACTGAATGAAATAAGGATTGGTGGATCTGACTTTGCTAATTTTTGTCTTTAAAAATGATAAATCATCCCTTATCGAGGAAAATGAGAGACCAAACTTAATAATAATTTAAAAAATCTGAGACCAGACAAAACTATAAGCGTAGTATTGAAATAATTGTCTATGACTCACCAGTAGTGGCGCAGTGAGATGAGAACTCTATCGTGTCCTGCGTGTTTCCGCAGCCGAAGCTCACGGTTTCGTACGCTCCCGCCACACACTCCGTTGGAGCTTCATTGCCTGCGTTATACAAATAAATATGGCTCATTTAGTTAGAAGTTTTGTACCCTTTTAGTTGGCGACCCAATAAGAATAGTCGGGTCCATCCTATACTTTTACGAACAAAAATTAAGGCTAAAAGTTTAAATAAAATAAAATTTCAATCAAATCAATCTTTTCCTTTACAAGCTATATTGCGGGAAGTACATTTTTTTTAAATTGCTCACTCATTTCAAAGTGCTTGCAGCTCTTGAACTGCAAATCCGATTTTTTTTTACTATCTTACTTTGAAATAAAAAAGAATATTCCGTTCCGATTCATGATGTTTTTAAACAATAGCTGACTAGCCTTGGATTCTTTGACTATACAAAAGAAAAACCAAATAAGATTTTCATTTCATACATTAAGCGTTAACTCAAACTTAACTTTTATAGGATGCTCATTGGTTTTAAGACACCTCTGGAGGCCAGAAACCCCAGGAACTTATTTCTTGACATATTTGAAACCCAAACGATTTTTTTTATTATTTACTTATGGCCTTGTTCAGTTATTATTTATTTAACTGTGTTGAGTTTGTCAAAATGAATTATATGATAAAATATATGTGGTAGATAACACAGGTTTGGGCATCGGTCCCTTTTTGGCCGTTTGGGACTTGCAGCCGTTATAACTAACTCATACTTAGGCCACTATATTACTTTACCGAATACCAACGCTCTTTAAAGTATTCCTTAGGTCCAGGACTGCATTATTAGTGGATGATCCTTATATATTAATGTATAGTTTCTGTCTTACCTATTGTTGCCTGTTGTCTTCTCCGGCGGCGATCATTCCCAGAGTTGATGACGTTATATCGACCTAATATCGGACACCGCATCGGCACTAGGTTAGTCGCTGAAACAATAAAATATTTTCTAAATATTATAATTACTGAGCCACAGCAAAGGGTGGATGGGTCAGCTTGCATCGTAGTCAGTTGTTTCGAAAGTTTTATATTTTATTGTAGTTGTATAAAAATTACAGTCAGTATCCAAATTGTATTCTTTAAGCTTTCATGCTTGTTTCAAATATTAAAATAAAATTTAAATTATGCATTTTAAATGATATTTTCATATTGAAATGCATAATTTAAATAAATTTTTGATAAATTTTTCCTATTATTAAGTACCCATTTTATTAACCATAGACAAAAAATGTGCAGTAAAACCTTTTTTTGTATATACTTTTATTTTCTTATTATCTGACTTTTAATAGGTCCAATTAATGGGTCGCACACACTATAGATGTCTGATATATATAGCCTGTGGTTATAGATACTTATTAAACAACATCACATACATTGTTCAGATTAAAAGATGAGTAGCTAAAGCCTAGTAAAGGAGCTAAATTATGGAGTATCTGGTTATAGTTACAAATTAGCATGAGGTATATATAGGTTATGGTTATAGTTACATATGAGCGTGAGGTACGGCGGGCTGGCGGCGGGCGGGGAGCAGGCGTCCTCGGCGCTGTCCCAGAGGCCGGGCCCGTGCTGCAGCTCCAGCACGCCGCCCCCGCGCCGGTAGAACGTCAGGCACACGTGCCCGGACTCGCTGGAAATATAACGCCACATTATCTATATGCATGTATACGAGTATGCATATATTGATAGATACATTTTATAATCAATTGATATATTTAAAATCACAATGTCGTCTCCAACAGTTTATTCTCCTTTTTCAATTCATGGCGTATTTGCGTTTACACGATTCCGCCAATGACACGTTTATGGTCTTTACACGTTAAGAAACAATAATAAAAAAAAAAACTCTTAGTGCGTCTATCTGATTACATTGTTAAAGATAATACAAATAGAATGTAGAAAACAAAAGATATTTTATATTTATTTCAATTGATATATTTAAAATTACAATGTCGATTCTAACAGTTTTACAAGAATAACTACACAGCAGAAGTAAAGTCAAAGTGACAGCTTACTGACAGACAGGGATGGACGTAGTGAAATCGACAACTTTTAAACTTCACAACGGCTTTTAATGCGTTTTTTTTTTAATATTCGAGAGGAAAGTTTATATGCATAATATGGGAACACGCGGGTGGAGTCGCTGCCGGAAAGCTAGTTTCAACAAAAACAATATTTTACAATATTACAAATAGAAAAATAGTTGGATTATAGTGGTAAAAGATTTTTCTTTTTAATCGGTCCTTACAATTACATCCTTCCATTTCTCTTCATAATATCAGGAATAAAGTCGAACGATACTTAAATTATAGTTTTTTTTTGCTCCCGTACCCAAAGACAAAGAAGAAAACGTTATTACTAAGTCTGTCTGTCACCAGGCTGTACCTCATGAACCGTGATAGCTAAACAGTTGAAACTTTAAACAGATGATATGCCACTATTACAGCATAAATACTAAAAATATAATAAAAATATCTCACTGAACTTATTAAAAATATTTTATAAATTCGCTTACCATCCGCTCGTTACGTGAGCAACTAACTTGATGTGTTTCTTCTCTTTCTGTTCTAGAATGGAGTGACATACTAATCTCTTTTCCTCATAAGTGCCATCAGCGTTCATGATCTGAAAAATGTTGATATCATAAGTGGTACTAATCTTTAGCTCAACGCATTAAAGTCCATAAGAGTGGTGGTACTGATATCCTTCGGAGTTAGTTTGTTTTTGCTGCGAATATAAATTTTGCCTACTTATAGAACTGGAAGTACTGTGTCAGACTCATTTATAACGAATTATCATGCGAAATATCATATCATTATCCATTCGTACTCGAACGAATATTCGAAAAATTTATATAGTTCTATAGTTATTTATATAGTTCTTATAATTATGTTTAATTTATAAACGTGTCCGTTCTACAATATTAGAGGTTTTACAAAAACCTGTATGTACCAGATATGGGACAAAAATATATTTGTCTTAAGCTCTTGTTTGCTTCGGAAGGCACATTAAGTAGCTGATAGGAACATTAACACCCACCAATTTGCCCTGGGCCCGTGTACCATTATGGCCATGAACTTTATGACGATCCATAAGAAGGTATACCCCAGCAGTGAGGGTATGAACTGACTACTGATGCACATGTGAAGCGGAGAGCTAGTGGAAATTCTTCAATGAAAATAAACGATTATGAGCATAAAATAATGGTTTTATTAAAATATACTTTACCATAGATACGGTTTTGGTTTTATTATCAAAGATTATAAAAGGATGACATTGAATAAAGTAAAAAGGTCGGTAACACAGATGAATTGAATGAATAGTACCATCAGTACAGACGTCACACGCAACTTACCTTGAGCGTGGCGTTCTTTGTGGTGAAATGGTATTGATGCGAATGATCCAAGCTGAACCACTTGTGGTGCTCGAGGATCCACGATGGGAAATGACATCGGTTGTGTTCATCGTCGCCTGCAACATTAAATAAAATGTATAATCACATATCAAAATGCATTCATTAACTTAATGTTAAAAAAATATTTTGTGTTCTTTGTGTTTTCGTCTTTGATAATCTGTTATTGACATGTACGGCAATGTAGTCATAGTGTAGTGGTGTAGTACAGTGGCTCGCACATATACAGTTATATTAGAGAATGTAACGCGGTTAAAAAGAGGGAAAACCGCGGTAACCAGCATCATAGTTTTTTTTTTTCAAAACCACATATTTATTTATTTCCCTAACTTTATTGAACATGCTACCTGCGTTCTTAAATAATCAATTTTTTTTTAATTTCAAATTTGGGAAATAAAACCTTATGATGGCGGCATTAAGTGAACCATGGAAAGAAAGAGTTTTTATTGGGCAAAACACATCCCATACACAATTAACACATACAGTTTATAAATATGACAGAATAAAATGTCAAAAATAATAAAAAAAAGGAGAAAAAAAAACAAACTTAATGAAGACAGTGAAATAATAACTATTGTGTCATGGTGTGTGTGTAGCTGGCCTCAGCTCAGTATTAGCAGTAAGCGGGGCTTACTGCACTGATATTCTGCAAAAGCCAGCAATGACAACATGGACAATTTTACGACCATAAAATAATAAATAAAAAAATCATTACGTGCAATAGCCGCAAGATGTGTATACCAGTATTATGTACATATTATCTATGGTGTAATAAGTAGAAGCGTCGATTCCATGTCAACAAGGTTATAAGCATTTACATTGTTCAATACATATAATTTAAAAGTGAAACATCCCATATATCCATAGTCTTTGGTTACAGTACTTACTGTTGGTGAGTTTCATAATGCGACTGCCGTCCGTAGGCGACGATACGCCATTACACGTCGCGTCCCCGGACTGGGCGATATTATACGTCATACTCTTGTCACTATGTTGACCTTTGTAGATGAAGCATCTGTTAACGGAAAATATACAATTTTATAACATTTTAAATTTAAAACCATACACCTATAGAAATCACTGAAAAATAAAAAAAAACGTAATCGTAAAATTATTATGAGTCTATGTAATTTTTATTTACGAAAACAGAATAAATAATACTTCAAGATATTATATATTAAAAAAAAAAACTTCTACTAAATTCGGGAAGAAGTTTTATGTTGATTCCGACTTAAGTTTAATAGCTTTATAAAGTGGTGTTTTGTACAAATGTTGTCTACCTGAATGTTTCTTCATCGGACGCTATATAGTTTCGCTTTTGCACCTGAGATATTTGTCCGACTAGATACCTAGTGGAACCCTCCTTCCAGGTCGCGAGACAAACTAACTCTTCCACTGAAATCATAAAAGAAGTACATAGGATATTTTAATCTAATTAAAATGTAAAAACATCATGAAACGTCATAGAGTTAGTGTAATATCACGTGTATTTATTGATTACCTAAATTCAAGATAGCAAATTATACTTGGCTGTAAAAGATTTTTAAGATAATTAATACAGCCAACAGTACGTCAGGATATTCTTCTTCTTTTATTAATGGCTTATCTGCGCATTTCGCACAATTCTGCCAATGTCAAGTAAATAAATTAATGTCTACATGTAAAATGAAAATGAAATGAATGAAAGATGATGATAAAAATGTATCTCTTCACTTAATTTTAAACCTTACATAACGCACAGAGTCAAAAGAAACGGCAGAAATTTGATTTTACTCGTAATCAGTAAAGCTGTCATATGTTGATTAAAAATACACGTTGTCCTAGGAACCCAGGGGAAAGGATTGTATGCTCAGACCAGTGTTTACCAAACACTGTTTTGCCATGGCAGGTAATTTTCACACTGCCTCTTTTTAAACCTGGTTCTGGGTCGATCAGGAAAAAGTATCTGTTTTTATAAATGATACTTGGTAAATGATACTTAACTAGATCGATTTATCGCCCTCGAAACCTCCTGTATAATAAATTTCATGAAAATCATTCTGCCGTTTCCTAGATTTATATTATTTATATATATAAAATTGTGTTACTTGTGTTACTGAGTGACTGGCTGATTGATATTTATTAATAGTAAAAAGGTTTCATTAATACTAAATACTTTTGTATCCCCTATTTAGTCACTAAAGTTTGATGCGAAGTATAGAGCTGCTGCTATATGTTTACTTAATTATCCAAGTATGTCCGAGCGAGACAGTAATTTGCTTTTCAACAATTATTAACCGGGTATACTCGTACATCATACGGGGTTGACATAGACTATAAATTACGCGTGCGATGTAGGGGGATAAACACTAGTCCTACTATAAAATATTATAAATGCAAAAGTTTGTGAAGATGTATTTATGTTTGTTTCTGTTTTTTAGTATAAACTACTCAATGGATATCAATTAAATTTGGTATATGAGTAATTCTAAATGTGAATTAAATATAGGCTACTTTTTATCCTACAAACAGTTCCCTAGGAAGAAATGAACATCACACGGTCAAAGTCGCTGGTGGGAAGCGAGTATTACATATTTTTTTGAAGATAGATAGATTATTAATACCAAATGCTTAAAAACCAGCCCCAGGTACTCTTAGATGGGAGTCGAAGCCACGATCTTTCGCTATCCGGTCGACTGTTCTAACCACTATAATTATTATAGATAGATATTCACCATTGCTCTCTGTGCCTGGCACATCTGGACATGCCATGTACCGCAGCAGCAGTCGAGAGTTGTCCGTGCACGCTTCCGCTCGTGAAGGAGGATTCGCGCAGTCACCTGTACCTCTGGAACAGATAAATTTATCATTAGTATTGCAGCCAGAGTAGTTCGGTGGCGTAGAGGATAAGCGCCGCGGCCCGCGATCGTTGTTGTTAAGCAACTTTCGCAAGGGTCGTCCCGGCTGCATTTGTAGTCGCTGATACTCTCCAATCCGCATTGGGTCAGCGTGGAGGGTTCATGAATAAATTTCAAATTCATGTAAAGAATATACTTATGAGTAAAGGCTATTATAAAGTTGATGATTATTTTAAGGATCGCAATGCATGGAATTAATAGCCTTCGCTTTGTTCTATAAAGACTAATTATATGTTCAACCTATGTCCTACAGACTTTGAAAGTTGTATTTATTATAGTGATAATACATATTATTTTGGTAATGACATGATTTATGTAAATGTCATTACTTATGATAAAGAGCTGGTAAGTTTCTTTCGCTTGTTCTTCTTGTCAGCTAAAAGACGTCCTGAACAAGTGGTAGGGGTAAACATTTTTTTTGGACGATTCAAAATAATAGCCTACTTGAATAAAGATATTTTCATTTAATTTCATGGCTCATCCTCTTTGACCTTAAGCGGGGACGTAAAAAGGCTGATGATGATGATTGCCAGCTCCAATAAAAAAATTTCCAGATAGGAACAATAATATTCTTGTTGTAACACCAAATAAACCCCTAATTAGGTGTCTATTAATAAAATGTGTTATTTTCATGAGATTTAACCTAGTAAATTTATTATTTTTAATATATTATTTTTATTTATTCACTTATAATTAGAATGGAGTTGTAATATTGTAAAATAAAATAAGAGTTTCAATTGAAAAAAACTAATCATATATTCATTAAAATTAAATAATGTCACTTGTCCAGACACTAATGTTTTGTAGACATTGGACCATAAAAAAAGAAGCTGATTTGACTAGTCCTGATGTAAGTTACTTGCCATTTTAAGGGGCATTATTGTTGGAGACGGAAGCATGAAGACTTATAATATGTCAAAGTTCTTATTAATGTAAGATAAAAATAGTGTTACAAGTCAAACTTGGTCAAATGATAGTTTTTAATTTTAAAATAGTGAAACTTAAGTATTAATCAGTGCCTTATTTATTTTAGTAAGGAAGAAAGAAAGAAAAAATAGCAACTAAGTTTAAACAAAAGATAAAGGAAAAAAAACGAGTGGACTGTGTCTTGGGTTGCCATTGTCAACTTTAAGTATTATTGTAGTAAGTAGTATATCTTATAATAACACTCTTCTTATTTACTTAAAATTTTAAAAAGGTATGTTTTGATACTTTTTTACATATTATACATTATAATAAATATTATGTAGAAAAGGGTATTTTAGTTTTTAAATGATAGAGTACAATTTTATATTTAAGAGTGCGGTTGGCAACCCTAATATTGTGTCCCCTCAGCCTGTCACACCGGGTCATGTTTTGGCCGCAAAGTAAATACGGCCCTGGATAAAATTATACTAACCTGTTGTAGGTGAAGGTAAATGGTGCTGGATGAAACGGACACTCCTGTGGCACAGGGCGTGGTTCCTTCCTGAACATAGAGAACAGAGGCGCGTCGCCGCTGATCTGCTCGCATATAGACGACAGAGAATCCTTGGGCCAGTTTGGACCTGCAACAGAAAAAGATCCAATTTAAAACATATCATCATCCTTATATATTAATATCACAGCACGGTTCAGGCCTTCCGTATGGATGGAATCGAATAGGCAGAATGAGTCATGACCTGCTTCACGACCCTTGGGTAAACTGGTTAGTGTCAAAGAATGCAAATGCACCCGGGACCAACGGCTTACCGTACCTTTCAAAGCACGGAGGAGTTGGAGATAATACATTTTTGGTCACCCATCCGATGGCCAACCCTTGCGAAAGTTCAGTAGAGCTCCCAATGGGTTAATATTCGTAGCCCAAGAGGTGAATACAAAATCTTTTTGGATGGTATTTCAAAGAAAACAAAACAAATTGTTACAACTTACTCTCTTTGTACTGCAAAACGTATTTGTGCTTCTCGTGTATCACCAGACATCTGTATGAGTCGTCACTCCTGAAATTAAAAATTGTAAATATCCATTAAAGTTCAAATAATAAAGGGCTACATTGCATAAAAAAATAGAATGAAAAGGACCGAATATGGAATATGATCCCAAAATATTGAAATGCCTTCTTAAATAAGTCCTATTAGAGGGAAATTTGTGTCTATGAGTCCAAGAAATTCACGCTGCTTATTTGCTTTAGTTTGAGATAAAATTCCCGTAAAGAATAATTCAAAAAGTAATTTCAGTATTCCATCATATCCAATATGAATTATTCCACGTTTAGTAACTTTCCTCTACCACTATAATACTCGAGTCTCATATTTTGGTGGAGAAATGCTTTTATAACTTGTTAAAATATTCCAAACTTATATTTTACTGCTTCAATTTAACAAAAAATGGCTTCCATAATAGGCATTCAAGTTGAGGAGTCCCCACTCCTCGCTAAGAAAGAACTATGTAGAAATTATAGAAATGTGACGTCATGCGACATTTCAACACAATGTATCTACATAATTTATAAAATACGAAAAAAATACGTGTTTTATATTAATTATTCGATAATTAACCCAACGGACAGACACAAAATTTTGTCATCAACCCTATTCTGTTACTGCAAATATTTTGATTCCTGATTCCATTACAGAGCATAAAGAATTTTAAACTTTCATTCTAATCTATGTTATGTTTACAACATTATTTATAAGTTTATGTCCTAACAATAATTTGATTTATTTTATTACAATACATTTTTGTTAATATATTTAAATGTATTTTCACCGATATTTTCGTCAATAGTACACCGATTTTCAAAATTCTTTTTTTATACGAAAGCCTAATGGACCGAGGTGGTCTCATTTAAATTATTATTGAAATCGGATGAGTAGTTTTCCTTTTACTGCGTATTTAGAATTCATTCAAAATCTGAAAGGAGGATTTTTTTATGTTCCACGAGTATGTATACTTTACTCTTTGGTGTATATTTTTTTATGAAATTCATAGAGAGTATATAGGAGTAGGCAAGTAGTTCACATGTTCATCGATTTCTTTTTGAATTGTGAACCAATTTCTATTAAAGTAGTTGTTTCTTCGCGACTTCGCCTGTGTAAATTAAGCCTATGTCCGGAGCGTATTATGTAGCTGTAGTATGAAAGTCTGAAAGGCTAAATCTAAATAATTCGGTGCAATAGTTGCGGGGTCTATCCAATGCAAATAAACAAGCAGTCAAATCTGTACTCTTTGTGAAAGAAAATGATTACATTTGAAAATGTTGAGCAAAACAAGAGCAAATAAAAAAAAACCGACTTCAAACTTAAAAAAGTGATATTTAATACTTAATTCAAAAGTGACTTATTCAAGAAAATGCTATGGAAATCGGGCGCCTATCATTTAATTAATAACCCATAGAAAATCTCCACCCGATTTCAATAGCATTTGAGATTATTATTTGTCTTTTTTTTAAAGTTTAAAGTCGGTTCTCTTTTTATTTAAAAATATTGGTTCATTGGTTATTAATACAATGTGTATTGGACTTGAGCGAAGTGATATATGTTTCGTCTCATGAGCTAATCTATCATTAGCTCATCTATGTTTCAAATAAATACTTATATCGTCGCAACACGATTCATTTCCGAGTAAGATCCATTGAAAAGAAGATTGATGTCGAGGGAGCTATATAATAAGCGAAAAGGAGTGCTTAGATTTTCATAACAACGGTTTATATATAGCTCTTATTTCTTATCAACTAAATCTGTTCTCTATCAGCTTTGCATTGAATCAATCAAAACAATAAGCCAGAACGGACTTATTGTATCACTCTGAGATATATATAAAAAATGATAGTTAATACATGACAAGTACCTATATAACATTTTTTATCAATAGATTTATACTACGGAAAACATTTTCATAATGATAGTCGGTTAAGATCCTCAGTGTTGGCTTTCCCTGTGGATTGGAAGGTCTTAATTAGTTAGTATGCGGCCGGGACTAAGGGCTTAACTAACATCCTTTCCAAAGCACGAAGAAGCTCGAGATAATAAAATTTTGTTAACCCATCTTATCACTGGCTTTTGCGTTTGTTTAACCTCCGTATCCTCAGCTATCGAGCTCCTCAGAGATATCATAGTTTATTTATAACACATACAATAAATGGGAAAATCTTTTTGTATGTCCGTTCTTTCACGTGGCAACGGAACGATATTTTGGATTGCTTTTAATGTGTGTTCAATTGAAAGACTGGAGAGCGAGAATTACCATGAGAAAACGTATTACCCCTCTGGAAAAGCAGATGGCAACATAAGTAAGAGACTTATGAAATACAAAGTTACTTGACATTTTTACCATTTACTTTATATTATTCTTATTTTGATTATTATATCCTCACCTGTCGTATAAAAGAAACTTGTCGTTAGAATCTGTTTCGGCACATTCTCCCTTGGACTGTATGTGTGTGCTGTTGATAGCTATGAGGCCAGGATAGCCGGACTGGAACCAGCTACCTGTCCAGCTCTCCGAAAACGTACAGCCACCGCCTGGAAAGAAATTAAATAACAAATATTAGAAATCAGTCATTATTAGCCAAAGACTTATAAGCTACTGGACACACCGAACTAAAAGTGTGACACAGTGCGAGCATAGTTGCTGTCTCGCTTACCAGTAAGAAGTAAGAGGGACGGCAATAATAACAACACTTTTCGGTAGCACATTATGTGACCACTGGTTGTGTAATATCCTCGCAGATATTTTATGTGTAAAAATAAATAAAAATATATAGTTAACGGATAAATAACTTTAACACGAGTTATCACTAAACTAAAACAAGGCATAGCTCTACTAGGAAACGCCTAATCTTACGTATCGTCAGATTAGTTTAATTCCAAATAAATTTTGTTCTTCTATTCCGCAACACGTTTGTAATCTGTCATATTATGTTAATGCCTAGATCATGGCGTTGTATAACGCATGTCTATAGTTTTAGACATTGCTTAATATACTCATAATTAGGTGGTTCCTAGTCATAGGGCAAATTAATTTTCACCTTAGGAGATTCCTAAACATTTAGGCGACAGATTTGGGCGGCTCCTAAGTTTCGTGAAAACGGGTAAATAATACAACAGGGTCATTCGTTACGTGTGCGTTTTATTTACACGATTTAAGCCTGTTTTCAATACCCGATCGTAGCAGCAATGAATTGTCGGATAGACTTAGCTCTGCAGCTGCCGTTAACTTCATTACGATATTATTATTATATTCCAATGTAAAGTGCCTTCTAATGTTGATAATATATTGAAGTGTAAATGACATGGTTTTTACATAAGACGTCAGAGTGGTAGGTGGTAGGGAAAAAAGGTTGGACGATTCAATAGTGCTCGGAAAATTTATTTTAATAAACATATTTTAAATTTTTTGCTTTTTAATGAACCTCTATGGCGTGACAACGCGGCGCTCGTCTTGAGTTCGAGGTTATCTTTCGACTCTTCAGCAAGCTAGCAGCACTGCAGCACTACTGAAGAGACGAAAGAACGGAGCTCAAGATAATATTAAAAAAAAAATGGTTTTCATAGCAAGTGAAAACTTTATAGTGTATATTATTTTATTGCAATAAACAAAAAACTGCATTACCCGATTTTATTATACAAGATAGGTAGTATAAAAAACTCTGTACCATTTTTACTGCACTCGTAAAGTGCAGGGTAGGAGCTCATAGATCATAAATCCAATGTTATACGACCACATATAACAATAGTTTTATGGAGCTGTTACGGCTTATCAAATTTATTTGTCAGTACAGGCTCACATATCGAGGTAAGAGAAATTGGGACGTCATATCATCGCCTTGAGAGTCTTATGCGTGCTTTCATCTTCAAAGTATTATTCCAATTTTAAAACAGGTATGTACAGCATTGTTATTTGGTGTAGGTAGTCGACGCTGTAACTTTGCAGTTTTGAAATGCACGTGATAAGAAATAGACAAGCCAGTGCTGCTACCCTATTCTGCCAACTAACGCAATGATCGTGCATCTCAATGGAGTTTTAACCACTTGTCATATTTGCCATTGTATTATCTGCCTGAAGTTCAATATTAGTGCAATGTCTTCTTCACAAATAAATGGTGACAGATATGTTTATAATTTTGTGATCTAGTAAAAAAAACTACCTCAAAGGTTTGTAGTTGAAGCGCTATTGACTTTCCATAATTAAGCTAATATTAGCATTTCAGGCCAGTAGGTGGACTAGTGTAAATTGAATCTTTAAGACATTACCACGGCTACTGACTTTTGATTGACCGTCTAATGAGTGATGTCAGTTATCAGCGCCAGTGCTGGTGCTGGATACGTCTGCTGTTACATCTAGGTTCAGTGAAATAAAATCTTTATTACCTATAAAAAATGTACATTATTTTTACTTTAAATTCTTTAGTACTCTTCATTGACATAGCACACAGGATTAGTAAGCTGAAGTGTCGATATATGTTGACAGCCGATAAACGGTGGAGTGAGTGAGTTATAGAATGGATACCGCGAGTCTGAAAGCGTGGTGCAGGAAGGTAGAGCAAGGTATAGAGACCAATGATTTGAGGCAAGGCCTCAGGACGAGAGTAACTCAAAAAAGAAATAATGGAGTGTATTGACAAGCACAACAGGGAAAACGGAGAATTATCCTGGCTTTCCAATTATAAGTTCTAGTTTATGGAAGTTCGCGTTGGTAACCTATTGTTACATAATATGACTAAAATATATAGTTGTGATTCGCGTTTCGTTTACGCACGTTTTGTATTGCATCTCATGTAGTTCTATTGTTTCATTGTTTTTAAAAAAGTCAGGTGTTCGCAGGAAGTCAGCGTTTATCCGGCAACCTTTTGTGCCATTTTTAGGGATCTTTTGAAAATGAAATCTACTGTCAATACACCTGGAAAATGTGTACATTTTAAAATATAAATTTGCGCTTCATTAGTAGTGTAATAAGAGTGATTAATCAGCAGTTATTTGCGAGTAAATGAGTAGATTTAGGTAAGATACGCCTATTTAGCTCACTGGGTTAAATTATATGTTATATTAAATTATGATGTTATAGTTTAGACAAAATATATTTTATTAATACTGAAGTAATTCTTGAGTCACTTGATGTGTTCTTTGATACAACAGATTTGTACATTGCCATAATTAGTAGTGAAAGTCATACTCTTTCTTGAATATTGTATGTGCATGAATTAGCTTAATTCGAATCATAAACATAACCAATTTCTTTTGTTTAACATCATATTGCAAAAGTTAAGAATAATGAGATATTACAATTGTTATGTAAAATAATATAAGGACTCATTATACTATTCGTAAACAAGCAATTGAATAGAGAATTTATTATACCATTTGTATAAAGTAAAGGTCCCAAATATGAGCCCTGAGGGACACCTGACTAAGCAAAGTAACAGTCGGACTAAATTCAGTTTACAGTAACAGCCCGAGGTCTTTTCCTCAAATATAATGCGAAGCAGTCAGTAAGGGCCAATCCTTATACGCAAAATTTATCCCACTTCCCGCTTTTCGAATAAACTGTTTTGTATGCATTTATAGATTAGATGATACTGCAATATTAATATGGTACAGAGCTGATCTAATGATGGAGCCGAAAAGTAGTCATAGTACATCTATAATTAAATAAGCAAACCCATCAAGACAAGGACCTTGGTCGGAGTTAATAGCCAGTCTGACGATGAAAGTGGAAGGTAGCCACAGGAATTTCGTAATTAAGTAACTCGGCCATGTCTAGTTTGTGTTCATTTGATGGCCATATGATCCAAGCCAGATGGCCAGATGGCCAAGATCTTAGTCCAATCTAAGAATTGTTAATTTTTAGATTATTCCATGTTGTTTCCCATGTACAATCGCACCTTTCGCGCTCCCGCTAGCATTATAACCGCAGCCTAATTCTAAAGCCAGACAAATTCGTCTATTGGATGACATCAAAGAGATGCTCTAACTATGATATGCGAACAAAGGATTCTATATTATAATTAATTTTAGACGTCTCAAACCGCTCAAACGCTAGAATATCTGAATTAATTACCGACGTATCATTTATTAAAATTAATTAACGCATCTTTTACTACACAGGACAATTTTCAGGGCTGCCATGTCATATTAATATCACCTAAGTTTTTTTTTAACATTTAGAAAAATAAGAGAGGCGAGCTTTTATTTACGTATTAGATATATAAGTATTTTCAAAATTTTTATTTTTCCCGTAAACAACATTGTTATGAATTGGAATTGAAATAAACGCAATCTGCTTTCAACACAGAGCAGATTTTTCTTTGGTTGAAAATGAACTTCGAGTCTTGTTGTATTTCGTCGAGGTTAACTACTTAATTTAATTTAGTTTTGTTTGCTGTAATTAAATAATGAAGGCAAGCATTAAGATACGTTGAAATTGTGCTACCATTATTAAGATAGGAAGTTGCATGGATTTTGTTTTTGAAACAAATAAATAAAATAAAAATATTAAGTATCTATTTTGTTTTCTCAACCAATAATGGGATCCAAGGGGATGCTGTTGTACACAGACAAAATATTAGGCTAATGCAAAATCTCTTATTTCTGAAATAAATTTTGAACTTAACTGCCAACAGATTAGGCCTTAAAATCTATTGTAGAAATTTTGTGATATACTGATATACATCGAATATAGCTCCTTCATACAGCGCTGTCAGAACATTAGAGATGGTACTTCAAAATGTAATAATGTTTTTATTTAATTGAACATCTAATGCTGTTCGAAGAAGAAGTCAACCCTACTATAACGTTATATTCGCCATTCAAGCATAATTGAATTATTAAAACTGGCGAACAATGACGTTATCAACGCAAACGATTATGTTGACGCGTAGACGAATATAAAAGACAAACAAAAATCAGAGGCAAACCAAACGCCGACAAATAAAACCTTTGTTCGGTGCAATAACGAAACGCGATCGATTCTTGCGTTCCGTTTTACTGTAACGAATCGGTTATATTTTTTTTATGTAATATAAATATTTTATTCGGTCTGCGAATTTCATACAGAAATTCATAATTAAGTTTAAAAATTGGCCTTTCGTATTGTATTACTAGCTTCATATTTAAAAAAGGCAAAGGTTTTTACGTTTCTACAATAATTATCGATAAGCTTTTGGATGGTGCTGTTTTCACCAATCGAATAAAGCTCGCCTCTCCGAAGCCCTAAGCCAAGTAAAACATTTATGTACCCTAGTAACACGTGCTATCAATAGTCATGGAAACTTTAACAGGCACCTTTTTAATACCTAGACAGAAGAAACAGCTGACGTCCTGCAGGAATACAACGGAATATCCAACTGGTCAAGGTACTGCCAACGGGTAACCTCCAGGAGGCCATCACAGACTTAAGGCGATGGACAACTAGTTACATGTGACAAAGGCATAAAAATCTATTTCTATGTAATAATAACAAGTAGCTCGATGGCGTAGTGGATAAGCGCCGCGGCCCGCGATCGTAGTCGTTAAGCAACTTTCGCGAGGGTCGGTCATGGGATGGGTGACCAAAAAATTATTATCTCGAGCTACTCGGTGCTTCGGAAGGCACGTTAAGCCGTTGGTCCCGGCTGCATTTGCAGTCGTTAATACCCTCCAATCCGCATGGGGCCAGCGTGGAGGGTCATGGCCCATCCTTAAGGAGGCCTGAGCCCCTGCAGTGGGGACGTAAAAGAGCTGGTGATGATGATGATGTGATAATATTGAAAACATCTGCTTCGTCCATATGCATTGACAACATTTATACAGATATGATACCATTTTCAAAACAGTAGAGCGATTCCGTAAAAAATCCGAACCCGAATTCGAATTCACTCAGGTGTCCAAATTCACTACAAAAGCGAATTCCCTAATTTTATATAAATGTAGAAATTCTAGTGATTCCATTTTTTTTTTTGTATACAAATACAAAACAATATTGATTGGTTCATTCATGTCTCAGATATTCTATCAATTCACTTATACAATTCATTATAAGTGAATTCGGGGAGTTAGCGAATTCTAATTCGAGTTCGGGTTTCACAGAATCGCTCTGCCGATAGTAATGTAGTTATTATTTTCTGATCATAAGACTTCCGTATGATAAGCACTTGTGGCCAGGAGACATTGCGGTTCTGCCAAAAATGTATCGATCCCTTCAAAATCACGATTCTCTGCTAGAATTATTTAATCATAACATCATATAAAATTCAATTTTAAATAGAAAATTAATTGATTCCCTTCAGAATACGAGCAAAAGGTATGGCTGGCTCGTTCGCAATTAAAAAAGAACAGGTTCACATAAATCCGTCTCGTTCTTTTGCTTTGTGAATTATGAAAGTGAAAGAGACAGTTGTGTTTGAATGAGCTATGTTCATTAGGCATTCAGAAAATGAAACTCGATCATATTATTTCCCGACGCGCTTAGGGGATGGTGATATGCATAAAGGAACCATTTCGTTATACAAGAGACACATAGGCAACTGGATTCAATACGTCAACGTCTATTGATTGAAGTATATATAAATATATACATCTTGAAATTAAAAATAATTTCCCAATTTTGTTATTTTTTGTACTTTTAGGCAGATCCTAGTGTAACTAGTCGGTGCTTTTATACCTTCAAATAAAACTGAGATACTAATCATTCAAAATATATAAAAAAATGGATAGTGAATTCATGTTTCTGTGGGATTCTCGTGTGTAAAAAATAGCACCCAGGGTCAGTTTCTTATCATTTCCTCTCAACAGCGATATTCTGTAATAAATTCAGCCTGAAACTTGACGTATAGCACAGCGCAGACAGCATAGAGGTTGTATCAAATAGAACTTACTTTAAAGGTAACTAAGGTTTGAATAAATGAACCTGAATGCGTGTGACAGTTCTGTGCTGAAAATGTCATAGCTTTACTCGACCGACAAGATTATCACTCTTAAATATTATCGATGAGCATAGCAGTATCTAGATGACATCCCGTAAATTTACGATACGGTGATATTACGGTATTCGCTATCAGAAGTCAATTTTTAATTGCCGATACCGATAGACCGACTGCATAGATTATATTGAAATAAAATCTTGGTCCTGTCTAGCTTGAACTCGACGCGAGTAAGCGGCGGAAATAAAATTAAGAAATGCTTTGATGTGAGTAAACTTGATTGCTGTTTAAACGATGGTACGACAGTTACGACATGTCTTTTGTTTTGCCATTAAAACTATATGTAATTGCATATATTTATGACTGTCACTCATGAATGATTTTGATAAAACCATACATTAATAATTTCAAATCGATTGTGAAGAAAAAATATCAAGTCTAAACACTTACAGTGCTACTTATAAACAAGGTTTAGCGTCAGAGTAAATTTACGCTAAAATTGCAATTTTAGTATTAGTTCATATTCATAATACACAGAATATAAGCAAATCTACTACCTTCTAGGAGCAAATATTACTCAGTTAGAACCTCGTACTAGGTTAACCTTTGTTAAGTCTCTGTTTAATAATATTTTGACTAATACGAAGAGCAGTCTCAGCGTAAATTTACTCCAACGCTAAATCTTGTTTATAAGTAGCACTGTTAAGTATTATTAAAAACTTCAATTTCACAAGAAATGGCTTAGATACCAGCCATTAAAGTTGTGGAGTGGGGGCTGGCTACGTCACAGTTCTGCTATCACAATAAACAATTATCTAACGGACAAACAAACAAAAAAGCATAGTTATAACATCCCGTTAAGCCTAATTTTAAATACGAGCCAAAAATTAATATATTCAATGGAAATTTATAACATAAATATAGACAAGCGAAAATGTGTACATACATTTTATTTAATATCGATAATAATAGGTAATGTCAGTGTTGCTGTTTTTGTTTTGAATCTTGTTGTTTGTTCGTTCTAGAATAAATTGATTCCTAAACGTACCAAATTGTTTACGTAGGCTACCATATTTTGAATAGCTTTCTTCAATTAATTGTTTACGAGAACAGAAAAATAGAAGCCAGTATAAATTAATGAGTCCTGAGTACAGGGAATAGTCCTTGGGTTACGACGTCAAATTCATTTTATAGGTAGCATTTTTTTTCTGGTCACACACATAAGGGGTCTGGTGAAGATATGAAACAATGAAGTTGCCCTCAATCAGATATGACAATACAATAAAAAAGTTTATTTTTTAAAATCCTTTTGTTAAGGGAAATATAATACCGCATTCTACAGCCATCCTCTTTCGTAGCGTGGCCAGCGAGGATTTGTTTTAAGACAAATTCCGTGACTGTCTGGGCCTCTTAGAACGATGGAGACTAATCAAACACTCAACACACCCCTTACGCTGTACCTTCTCACATCAGGATAGACTCGGTACTTAGCATTAATAGAGCCAGCTCCTCTATTCTGCAACAACTGAAATATATTGTTCACAGAGCTCTGTGGGCGAGCCTTCATGGCGCGGTTTTGGTATTCTGGAACTCATTTTTAATAAATCAATAATTCTTAGTGAGTTGCTATAATATATTTTTCAATTTAGATTAAATCACTCATTGTAGTTCACTTTTATGGTCATCAACATCAAGTGTCAATCGGCGTTCAGGTGAGATCGGCGACAATGACGTTACTACGGTAAGTCAATTCGCAGGGACATGCTCTTTAAAATTTCAGTCTAAAACCCTCCGATATTTTCACTATAGTAGAGGATGCACAAGGACAGCTCGAAGACCGATTCTCGCGGAGTTTGCTCTTCTTTTAGGCCCTCATAGCGGGTACTTTCCCTCTGCTACCAAAAAAGGACTCTAACCTGTTGGACCAACTACTACCGACGATAAAGGTCGCGGGAAGCCGCTGGATGGTGGCAACGCTGGACCGATTGTCGTGGCCCATATTCATCAAAGTTAGGTACGATTACCATAAATTAAATAGATAGATTTCTCTTTATAAAACACTATAGCAAATCCTAATGTTAAAAATACTTGCATCAAACAATACTGATTACTAGTAATCGATACAGGCCCCACGGAATACTAGACAATACTATAATTACAAGCCATTAGTATATTGTAACGTATAGGGGCGTTTTATCAATAAATGAATCTAAAATTACTCTGGTCTACATGCATGTCGACCGGTCAATTTGGCTTGTTAGAACGTAGGGTTGAACGGTTTGGTAATTAGTGTACCTATCGAGGTCGACAAGCTATATAGTATCGATGTTTTAATTTAGTTAAACATTGAAACATAACTCTATTCGGCAACATTCTTTATTATTTTACGAAATAACTTGAAAGGATAACATATTTGTCTATTTAGCGTAACTTTATATAACCTGAAAGCTGATAAAGACATATTTAGGATCAGAGAAATATTTGATATTAATGTATGTTCTAAGAATGTATTTAATATTATTTTTATTAGCAATAAATAAATGAGACATTAGTTATAATAATAGGCACATTACCTTGTTTTATATATATTGTTTTTGTATTCGATCGGACTACATTAAATTTAAACAAAAATAAGGCATTATATTAGAATGAAAATCATCAATAGGTTGCCTGTTAGAAAATTATACTTATCAATATAATTTTTAAACATAGATCATAAATTGTTTGATCTTATTACTCTTTTTTTTAAATATCGAGAAGTATTGCACACATCCCTAAGGATGTGTGCGAACGAAGCCAGAATTATATTCCATATATAAATATGCAATATAATTCTAGAATGGTTCGTTCAACATTTGGTGTAATATTTGTAATGAGTAGATTTTTCTACTTTGATTGATAGCTTTAAATATTTTAGAGTAATGATTTGTCTCTTTTGAACGACCAATGATAGGAAAACATGCAATTCGATCATTGCCGGTGAAAAATGAAATTAATAGTTTTGTACCCACTTGAAACACCGACGTTCAATGATTTGGGATGAATGTTTATTTCATGGTATAATTTATTAAAAAAAAAACTTGAAGTTCACAACTACCAATTTTTTTTTTATATATTTACTTTATGAACTTAAATGGCCAATAATTAGTTAGGCTAAAGCCGTGTCATATAAGTCTGCTATAACCTTTATAATTAAATTTTCGGCAAACGTTCTTTTATGGCTTTAGAAGTTACTTCAAGAAAGATTTTAATTGTAAAAACTTCAGGATATTGTATTTATTTCAAAAATGCAAACGCTTTCCGCACAGCCTTAGAAGCGGCGCCCAAGGTTGAGAACTCCTGGATTAGAGGGAGAGGGGAAACCACACTGCTTCGTTCAAACCACAAGCTAAACTACTTAAAATATTTCGCTAATAGGCGATAACGTGCCATATCAAACACAAAGGAAACAGCCACGTCTCATTATACAATTGAAACTGTCAAACACAATTGTAACTGGATCAATTTAAATGATACTTGTGCTCGATTTAGGATTTATCTTCGAGTAGTTCCCACGACAATGTTAGGTGTTGCCATGTTGTAATATATGAGAGTCAGCTAGCACTGTGTGTGGAGGTAATCAAAATCTTAAATAAAAATAATGCGAAAAGAAATTTAAGTATTTTGATGTAGCTGATGTATTTCTCTGAGGCTCTACCGCGTAACTGATTCTCAGATTGATCTAGGATTGAACAGACCAATCCTGATTGATTTTCAGAGACTTGATCTTATAATAAATAGGAAAACCTCAGTAACATTTTTATAATTAAAACCAGTAAAATACAGTACAGCAACAGAAAATTTATTAAAAGTTTATACATATTGTATGCGAAAACTATTTTTCAAGAAGTAGAAGAAATATTTTTTTACTTTAACCTATTATAAAAACCACTACGACCAACCATCTTATGCCTGGTGTGTAGTTCAATTTTTTTTTTTTATGAATTTATTCCATTTACATTCTAAGAGTTTCTTTTCAGTATAGCATTGTGAATGCAAAATTGATTAAATATAATTATTAGAACAAAATTTCATCTTTATCAAAATATTAAATATTTGTAAAAATATTACTTTTCATCTGTTTGAGTGGATTGCCTGAACATTGATTAAAATACACTCTGTAGTAGCGAAAAAGTAACAAGTGCTTGAAAAATTCGTCAGTCCTGTAAGGTTGCGAAAACTCATGGGTTCGAGTCCCATCTCAGAGTGCCAGGGTCAAAGTGGATTTTAATCATTTTTCTTTAAGAATAAAACAAGTCTATTTATCGACTACAGCCACTTCAAAAATAGAAACAAAAGAGCTTTCCATCTCAATGTAATATCTTGATTAAACCTGACATTTTCTTTAGAAAACTGCTTTAATAGAACGATATAAAATCTACTTAAATAGCACCTGTATAAGATTAAAGTATCAAAACAATACTGCCGCATTATAGAGGGCTCAGGTGTGTAAAAGACGTTTTTCTTGTGGCGCGGTCGCAGTGAGCCACCTCACTTGTGAAGTGAATGAAGGTTGAATTTGTCGATATCGATAAAAACAAACGTTTGGTATTTTGTATATTTTTAAAAAGATAAAATTTCAGGAATACATACTTAAATAATAAATAAATAAGTTGTCACAAAGCCGCAGTGTAATCTGTGTTTTCGAAATCATAAATCGGTAAAATAAAGAAAATTCCTTAATTATAACGAGTTAAATTATTTTTTATTAAGCACAAACTTTTTAAAAAGTTATTATAATTTTCGATCATTTCGTTCTACAGAGGAACTTTCACCAACGTCCTAAAGAATAATAAACTTTAGGTTAAAAGGTTAGGAGCATGGTAGTATATAATTGACCAATAGTATTTACAACTTGCTCAATAATACATTTTAAAGAACCCACATTTTATGACAATAAAATTTTTAAATGGCAGTATATATTTCATAAACATAAAACTTCGACAAAACCGATACATGCCATCACTAAACTGCAGGCATCTATCAAAGTATGACAAATACTGTTTTTACTGTGTACCGACCGGGATACCGGGGATTCTTGGGAATACCAACTACTGGGAAGGCAGATTTTAAACATTTTATTGAATAAAATACAGGAACAACCGCTGCGAGGATAGCTACATTCATTATTACAAAATGAATTTAAGTATAGCAACTATTCCGTATGCTCATAATATTAGCATATCTTCCGTATCGCCCATTCCTACAGGTTATTCTAACACGTCTAACGCCTAGTCCGACCCCCTGGACCGAATCTCACGTCCTCCTTACCAAGGTAATCGCTTGTGACATGTGTGACGTCAATATCGCGTCGCCATTCCTGTTGCGGCAGTTCTACTCCTTCGGCCAGTCATAACATTGAGCCCCGCGCTTTCGGTGTTGACACTTGTGTACATTTGTAGGCACAATAACCGAACATTGGACTACGGAGCTCGTCAATACAGATATAGCCTCCGTAGTCCAGTGATTCGCACGCCGGTTTCAAGGTGTTGCCATCTCTGAGGTCTCGAGTCCGATTCCCTATCGAGTTTTGAACTTTGTCTCAGTCTCGGATCTAGGTGTTGTGGTAACTTCGTTGTCACAGATACTCCATAATGTACGTGATGTTTTCTAATATTCATTATACATATTTTATATATTGTCCATTTAATAATCCTCTCCATATTATAGGTATCACCAATAGCCCTCTGTGCAAAGTATTCTCGTCAACAGAGAAAACCATCGCTCACGCAATCCTAGAATGCGAGAGTCAGGCAGCACACCGGGGTGACATACTTGGCAACCCATCCTTACTCCGTTATTACAAGCCCGTGAAGACTCTATGAAGCTTATGCGCTTCTAGGCGGTATTGGGTAGGTTGTAGTAAAACAGACAACTTTTCACGTAAAGTTAAAGGAGCCATAGCGCGGAAAATTGGAGCTCCCATAATTAACTTAACCTTTTTTTGATAAGGCAGTGCAAATGAATGCACTTTAATATTTAAAACAGGGCTCTTTGACTCCGCACCCGTCCTGAAATGGGTCCAGCCAGGCCGACATCTAAATTCAGAACTTGACATTTCCCTATCTAAGATTAGCTGAATTCTGAGAAGAAATTTCGCAGGCGGCCATATTTTTCGAACCGACGTTTCTTGATTTCCGCCTTCAGAGGGCGACGGATGTTCGCAGAGATGCTGGTTTTAATGGAATCAAAAGGAATTTAAAAACCACAAATAAATAAATTTATAACTGTACTAATTGTTTCCTCTCACATATGTCGAAAAATACCTGAACATATGCAGCTTGTTCGGTAATACCTGTATTAAACCCGAATATGGCAGGTAAGGTACCATGAATAGGGATCCCGGAAAAATTGTCAGTAAAACTGAAACCTAGCACATGTTCTGGATATTTAGTTTGTTTGGTTTGAGGTAAAACTGTATCCTATTTGATCATCGAGAAAAATAGCAGAAGTTAAATAAATATGAAGTTAAATTCCTTCATTAAATATGCATCCGAGAGAAATCAAACTACGTATTCTATATCCTTG